CCAGAACAGCAGGACAGAGCTCCTTCGAGGACCTAATTGCGATTGCTGAAATATGCCCTAGATAGATAAACAGAGTTTAGGAGAATTCTTTGCTTCCTTCATGTTGTCTTACGGTTCATTTTGATTGAAATGGCGGGTTGAATAAATTAGTGAATTGGCCTCATCGGAGGCCCAAAGAGTAATTCTCATGAACTAGAGATTTTGGATTTACTTCAAGAAATCACCAGCATAAATGAATATGTGCTCGTCCTTTAACTACGCGATGTGACAGCGTGAAGCTATGCTTTAAGAAAAAGTAGCTTGATAAAATCACATAATAGACAAAAGCCCAGAACAGGGGGCATTGTGTCGGCGAGACATTTCCACCCCATCTTCCAATTAGGCCTATTTACTAATATGAAATGTATTTGCCTTATTTCGTTTAATTTGATGAAGGACTGTTAGTAGAATTTTCCCATAATGATATGAGTAGAGCTGACGTTTCCATTGAATTCCACATAGCCTTGATTTCCCAAAAGTTGTTCTCATCCAGGGCGGACTGCAGTTTCCATCTCACATAGGTCTTATCAGCACAACTTTTGGAAAAGCAAGGCTATGTGAAATTCACTGGAAACGTTAGCTCTACTCGTATCATTGTGGGAAATTTCTACTATCTGTCCTTCATCACCTTAAACGAAATAGGGTGAATACATCTCATATTACTGATTTACTGGTAGTCTTGAAACTCTACTTACATACTATTTACTAATGTCTTGCATTTGCATTTTTTAAAGAAATAGTAGGTACAGCAAAAAGGATCTCTCTTGAATTAATCCAACATTGTTATATAAGAGATCTTGCACACGGTTACCTGAGCAACCAGAAATTATCTCATTCCCAATTTGAATTTTTCGAATGTTGAGGCCAGTTTATTTACAGCATGAGTTGCTTAATGCCTCCACTTGAATATAATTTCAATAACAGTAAAGTTTCTAATGATTGACACTGATTTCTCAATAAAACTCTATTGTAGGAAAGAATTCCCAATTCATTTGCCTGCCGTATATTTCAGTATTTCCTGTGAGCGAATCCTGCTCTGGCTAGCGCTACAAGCATACTCTTTGCTCAGGCCCAGTTGGACCCTATAATGTCTGCATTTCTGTACTATTTCATCGCACCATCATCGATTTTAAGTTGACATAGAAACATCACCAACCCTCTATGACGTGAGATCCGGTATAGATGTTCTGGACTTCCGGATAGTGAGATGCATATGACTCTTTTGTTCAGAGTGATCTATCGGAAGCTCCGTGTTGCCGTGCCCTTGTTCGCCCACCTCTGGTCACCAAGCTCCAGTAGAGCAGATCCAACCCGTTTCGTTTTCCACCGCTTGCATGATCCATCCGTCCTATTTTTCTCGCAGGTTGCTGTCTCTCCCACCCCTATAGTCCTTTCTATTCTCCCCATTTCGTTTCATTCTACACGCCTCCTGAGCCAACCCGTCCATAGTCGTGTATCCAGGTGACCTATGCCATCGTCTGTATGGGTGCAGCCCTACCGGAAGTCCGGTCCGATGCATGCCCAACACGGCCAGAACAAGCGGCTCACGGGGAGAGGAAAGGGGTACAGAGGGGAAAAAGGTGGCCACAAAGAGTGTACACGCATTCAGGACAATAACCAAGTTGCATCAATAAACGCGATAGAGGAACGGTGCTTGGCAAAGGCAATTAACCAAAAAAATGGTATTCTCCAGGACGGATTCTCGGCATCTGTACCTTTGAGTTGTAATACACACTATGGCCTGCGGGTGCACAAAATAGGGGCACTCAAGGCTCGGGGGGGGGGCTACATCTAGTTGATTCCGCAAAATCACATGCAATAACTGCAATGACATTTTCTGACTTTATGCCGATTAGCTGGACGTGGCGCAACTCTGTCAACTATGAAAAAGCGCGGTATCTGAAATAGGTGAATAAATTAAATGTCTTGTCACGGCTCCGAGGGAGCAGTGTAACTTTTGCTCCCGGAACTCATCCGTTTGTTCTCTAACGCCTCACTGCCAGTCTTCTCAGCCTCGTTTGTTGATGTTATTCAGAGCTGTCTATCTAATCCCGTTGCTGTTAGGCCCATATTGATCTGATGGTAGCCAACTGGCTCAAAGTCCAGTGGTGGGTAATCACGGCTTGAATAGACAGCATGTCTGTCCGGATTTCTCCATCACTATTCTGGTTTAGGCTGCATATTACACCCCTGGTACCCTACTTGGTACACTTCTTCTAACCAAGGCGGGCTAGTCCATGACAAGGGCAAATAATTGCACGATCCATACCCACCAGGTCACCAGACACACACACAAATCCGTAGCTGGACGACCCAAGCAGGGAGGCATCATCATACTGTAATAGATTGGTGTGCACGAATACACCAACAATTAATTGTTTTCTGTTTATAAGTAGGCTTTTGACGCTACTAGTAAATACGATATAAGAACTGAATTCATTGTGTCTCGGTTACGAAGATGAAGGACTGGTGGTCAAATTTTCCCACGTTTATATGATTATTTGATTTTTCAAAATAAAATGACTGTGATTGTTGCATATTTCCACAACTAAATAAGTTGAAGCTATGAAGGCCAAGATATTGCATTTAACGCACCTTGCTTCCCAAAAGATATTTTTAGCCAGCCTGGACGGCGGCTTTGACCTTGCCGTAGTTTCATCAGCACCCCTCAACAGGACCAGGACCCGATTTGTTGTATTGCGTCGTAGAGTCCCGACACTTTAACCACTAAGCAGCATTGCCACGAGTTCCCTTTGGTCAGAGAGCAAGAAGGAATTTGAAGGAAGCCTCGTCTTTCCCATATCACATTTCTTTAATGGAATTGTAGGTGAAGCAATGTAGTATTTGCCATTGCAATCAAATTCACTACTTATTTTGCGTTTATAAGTAGGATTTCGAGGTGACCAGTAGATCTGATTTAAGATATGCACTGGACAAGTACATAAATGTTTCAAACAAAGCTATGCGAAATTCAATGGAAACGTAGGGCCTACTCATATAATTGTGTGAAACATTCAACTACCAGTCCTTTATCAAATAAAACATCAATCTCACCGATATGATCCACTGATAGATTCGATAACCTAAATATAAACAGAAAATAAGTGATAAAGTAGATAGCCAGGGCAACTATAATTTGCTTAATGGCCTAGATTTCCTTAAAATTTACGTCTGCTCTGTGACCTAAGGACATTTGTGGTAGTATGGCTGACTCTACGCTACAGTGAGATGGATTGAGTCTATTTCGTTTAAAGTGATTGAGTACTGGCAGATGAA